ACTGCCCACCACCACCATTCTTCCTTCCTACTCTGCCTCCTCAAAGGACATGGAGAAGGTAGACAAATTTTTTTCAGTTGTCTCTCCCTCTAGAACTCAGGGATTCCCCAAATTTAATCAGTAGCCCTCACTGGTCACAAACTAACAGTCCTCGTAAGTCACAAACTGAACCAAATATGCAAATCGTTACTATAAAATGACACATTCTTTATTCACACATGACGGCTACTAAAATTTTATTTCTAAATGAAAAACTTAAGCAATAATTTGGTTTAACGCCATATAATACTAAAAACTCCAGGTGCCATGCAGTATTTGGCAATACCATAAAGCTTAAAATGTGCATGTTCACACAAAAAGTGAAAAGTGGGGAGATATGACAAACTGTCACAGGGTTTCCCACCCTGTTATATTGTGATGGTCAAAAAATTAGAAACCACTGATCCAACTCCAATGTCCCCTTAAGGCACATCCAAGGTTGAACTAAAGAACCTAGCTTGTGCAGAGAATTGAATATGCAGAAGGAAGCAAACCGAGGAGGAACACGTGGTGCTCAAACAAGAGGTCTGTACTGGAATGGGAGTTTCTCTCTGCCCTATGACTCAATGTGCTACACAAAACCTCCACCTGCGTACTTCGGAATAAACACTGGAAAACTAGAACAAGGCTGGAATCCCTTCCCCAGCAGGGTCAAGACCCTTGACATAGAAGTGCTGCCAGTGGCCTCCTGCACCTTTCCCCCAAGTCAGGGAGAGGCAGGGAACAGTTGAAGGTGGGGCTCTGCCTATAGAATAACCACAGGCAAGTAGCCTTTGACGGAATGATCTCTGTTCACCCCTTGCAATCAACGAAATCTTGGGCAAATTACTTTGCTACTCTTTGCCTAGATTTCCCCATCTGTAAAGCAGGGATGATAATAATAATAATGCCAATTTTACAGGGTTGTTGTGAAGATTAAATGAGCCCAACCATGAAAAGTGCACCATCTGACACAAGTTAGCCCAATGTGTGTTAACTGCTACACTTAGTGCTTATGAATGGATCCTTCTGCCCTGGCCAGTGTGGCTGTTAGTTGGAGCATCATACCATAACTGAAAGGCTGCAGGTTTGATTTCTGATTAGGGCACATACTTAGGTTGCAGTTTTGATTCCTGGTCTGGGCACGTATAATCCCTGATGTGAGGGGTGTGATTGGGAGGCAACCAATCGTTGCTTCTCTCTTACATCCATGTTTCTCTCCCTCTCTCTCTAAAAGCAGTACAAAAATATATCCTCAGGTGAGGATTTAAAAAGGATCTTTTTGCAGTATCATCTACTTCTGGTTCATGGGACACGCAGGAGGAATGCCTCTGGTCTGCCTGTTCCAGATGACCCAATTGAAGAAATGAAGACCCTTTTCTGTCTCCTAATGAAATTCTCAAACTGCACCATAGGACTGCTATTACACTCAGAAAAAGCAGTAAAGCAAGTAGCAAGCCCCAAGTTTTGAGTTCCAATGACCTCTCTTCAGTTTAAGGTTCAAATTCAGTAATTTCCGTAAAGAAATACAATGGCTGGGTTCATAGAATCACAGCTTAAAACTGGATAGAACGAGCTTATTTAATTTAATCTCATTTTGTAGACAACTTTGGCCAAAGGAAATGACTAGTCCTGTGACACAGTAATCGACGAACTACAACCTGATTCCCTGAGAATGGGATCTCTACATCCATCCATTTTAACAACAGCTCATACCCTATAATCCAGTCCAATTTGAAGTCCACCTGGCCACTAAAGAGCAATGAGGCTCATGTGGCCTCTTCCGATGTCGTATAACTAGCCTTGCACACAGATGGAAAATGCTTCTGCATTCACCACTCTTTCTCCCTATTTGACCACCAGGGCAGGAATGGAAGAGTTGCTGGACTCCAGAAATGTAGGACTTTATCAAAAGAATAAACTTTAAAAAGCACAAATATTGCAAATAAAGTAGTATTCACCTCAGGAAAATGTGATTTACACCAAAAATTTCAAAGAACATCTACTGGGCAGCCAATTCTGCCATCCTGCCCTGCTGGGATCCACATTCTTTCAGACTACCTTCTTTTAACGAGACCCCTTGCCTCTCTGTTGCTTCGAGTGTCTAAGACAACAGTACTAGATCACCTTCCTGAGCATCTACCTCTAGAGCAAGGGGATCAAGAACTTGTGTCTCCAGTGCACAATATGACCTATGGCACAAAAGGAGCTGAGTGAATGAACAAAAGCAGCAGATCAGAGCCCTTAGAAAATAAACCTACCTACTGTTCATGCCAGCCCTTTCCACTGGAATAAATTGACTTGGGATACACAGAAGTTCTTAACATAAATTACTCTTCAGAATGTGTAGGTAAGGGAAGCTGAGAAATAAAAAAGGGAGGATTTCAACAACAGGGAAACTACACTGCAGACACATTTGCCCATCTGCCATTGTGGATGGGGTGTGGGGTGGGGGAGATTGCAGTTCCACTGCTTCTAGTGCAGGATTAGCTTAAAAAAAACTCTCCCCTACTTAACCGCCCATGTGGACCATGAGAGAGGTAACTAAGACAAGTTCTCTAAAAACACTACAAACACAGTAGGAGGGGGAAACATTAGGAGGAATGCAACCAAATTCAAATACTTAAAAAACAGCTGAAGAGAGGCAGCAAAAATAGGAGAGAAATGACAGGGAATAACTTTGTAAATATAAAAGCATGCTGTCCAAAAGAGTATCTCCTAGCCACATCTGAGTATTGAGCACTTGAAATATACTTAGTTCAAACTACAATGTGGTGTTAAATACATGTTGTATTTTGAAAAGTTAATACAAAAAAAGTATACACTACTCAACAATTTTTATTATGTATTGAAAAGGTAACATTTCAGATCTACTGAATATATTATTAAAGTTAATTCCACTTTTTTTTATTTTTGATATTTTTAATGTGGCTACTAGAAAAATTTAACTGACATTAAGTGACTCATTTCTATTGGACAGTGCTAACAAAAAAACCCAAACATACAACATGGAAAATTTTGTTGCTGTTCAATACAGTAGCCACCTGCCACATGTGGCTATTTAAATTTAACAGTAGCTACTGTGGCAAATAATGACCATATTAGTGCATATAATGCACTTTTATGGTAATGCACTTTTATGGAAGTAATGGATACTTCCATTGGAGAAAATCCTATTGGACAGCACTGGTCTAGGCAAGGACCAAAATACTGACACTTCATACAGAAAAACTAAACTCTGTATTGAGCCGATCCAAAACTAGAACTCCAGTTGAACTCCAGGTAGTCAACTTTGCATACGAGATTAAATTGATGGGGAAATTCACTTAATTATGGAGTATTTATGAATGTCTCAGAGCATTTATAAAAAGTGGTATCTGGCAGCTAGTCAAAAGGTTAATAAAGAGATGAAAGGTTCTGCCCCTCTGCTGGGCCAGGATGCCCCTAGAACCAACCCTTTCCTGCTGCCTACCCCAACGCCCCAGGCCGTGGGGACCTCAGACCATGCTATTAAACAGGACAACTTCAGGAGCTGCCAGGACAAGTGCCATTCTAGAGGGTGCCACTGAGTTCCCTCACACTATTAATCACCTCACTTTACTAAATTAACACATTGCCTCCCCAAGAACCTCAGTTAGGCATCGCAATTCCCTCAGGTTGCAAACAATGCTCCCATTACACTTATTTCTTTCTGTCTGACCATTTAGCAATTGGCCAGGAAAGCCTTTATATAGTTCCTGAGGGACATTAAGTGTATCTCACACATGTACAAGTACAACGGCACATTTACTTATGTAATTTAAGACATTCAAGCCTTTAAAAACAGGTACCTTATTTTGCTTCCTTTTCCACCACAGGATCTAAGTACTAGGTGTACAACACAGCTCGAAAAACAGTTAGCAAGGGTTACAGGTACGGCTGAGCTGTACATCCACACGAAATTATCTGAAAAGCTTGGAGGCAATAGATGTTTCCAATTCCAACCTGTCAATTCAATGGTCATAGAAGCAGAGGCAATTGGCAGAATCTGCTCCAGCAGGAAAAGGTGCATGTTTTTCCACTTTAGTCAGACCCATAGCAGAGGCCCTGTTGGTCCCATATACCCACACACAGAAGGGAGTTTATGTATAAAGGACATGATCCTCTGTATTGCAACCCAATGTGTGAGGGAGTATAGTTGAGGGTGGCATTAACTCACTTCCAAGTGGAAAAGGAAAATGAGAAAATCAGCAACTGCACAGCTGGTATGACTTAAAACCCCTCACATAGCAATCTAAGTTTTTCGCATCTGTGGGAACTAACAGGTGACCTGTGGTAGCCCAATGTGGTTGTAACATTTGATAAATAGCACAAATGCCTAAATGACAAATATTCACTAATCAAGAGCTGTGACTGAATTCATGCCTCCTTCACCCCAATTAGGAAGTGAGGGCTACAGAGATAGCAGGCTAGGGGCTTCGGTCTAAGTAAAACTCATATCCTGGTTAGGAGCAGACTTACTATATAAGCAGGTAAAAAGGAAAACCTGGCATTAGAATGGAGAGGGAATGAAACACCTGTTTTTAATACAGCAGAGCTCACTTTTGGGATATTATGCTTATTCAACGCCTCTGACTCACTTCTATGCTGGTCATGGCTCTATTTTCCCCAAATAGTCACCTCCTCCTTCTCTCAACACGAAACAGCAAGCCTCAGTTACCCATCAGAAATAATGACTTGAAACTACTAAGTTTCTAAAGTCAGAGTCCACATGTCCGGAACAGCTCAGGTGGCAACTCTGATGCTTGGCCGTGCCGTTTAACCACTTCTCTACAACTGGTGTTCACTTAGTCTCTATGACTCGTGAACACTTTCACTGGGAGGTAGTCCCAGGGCCTCTTGATAAAATTCAAGGAATATACTTAATGAGATTTCCCAAGCACTATTTCCTACCCCCAGATTTTTAGAGTGCTGCCTTCTTTCCCTCGGGTTGGAATGCTTACATCTGGTAGTTTTTTGCTCCTTCTGGACTCTTTAGTAGTACAGCAGTCAGTATGTAGAAAAGCAGTGCCACCTTACTTGCTTGTTGCTAGTTATGGTGATCCAGAAAAAGCCAATTCTAGGATGCTTATGAATCCCCTGGCGCAAAGTAGCTCAAGGCACTAAGAATAAATCCAAGAACACCAAAGAATTAACATTTACCTGAGCAGTAAGAGCTGAACCTGCTTATGTTGGTGAACAGGTTTTTCCCAAAAAGTCACTAGATCATCAGAGGATACCACCAGAAAACTTTTTCCAGAACATTTTACAATAACTGATCAGATTTCATGTTAAAGAGATGATACTAAAGTCCAATTTTTAATTAAAAAGAATAGCCTTAAGTTTTCGTTCTACCATATCCCATAAAAGCCCTGCTTTTGAGAATAGTGACAATGCATATAATTGATAAACTGTTTCTGCTGTGAGATGAAAAATGAACAATGAATAACACAAGTGAGTAACCTCTTCTGAGCAAGAAAAGGACTTACTAGCACACAGTTCACCCCTTTAAAATGGTAAAGGCCATTCTGGTTGTTAGTAGGCAGCTGCTCTCACTCTTCGACTTTGCAAATGCTTAGTTGAACCTTCGTGATTTTAAAACATCTCAGCAACTACCCAAAATTAAGTGTCTAGTCTAAACCCAGCTAATACAAACTGAGTGTTCAAACTCAAATACAGGCTAAAATTCTTTCATGATAAAGATAAAAATTGTAATAAATGTTTTTCAATAGCTTTGGTTAAAAGGAATAGCTCACAAATTTCTCCGCAAATCCAATCCAGATTTTTTTTTGTTTAAAAGAACCCCGTGGAGTTCATGAAAATTTTTCATTTGCTTTTTTTTTTTTTTCAGTAGAAGTTGAACAAATGTGGAAGGAACAAAACCAGAACATCAATGCCAGAAAGCAGCAATATTTTTGATTCCTCTTTCCTCTTCCCCACCTCAAATACACTAATGCAAAAACCAAATAAATATACAAGAAAAACAAAGCTTTAGAAGTATGTGCAATTGACAATGTATTCTGAAGATTTCTTTTTCCATTTCCTAAAATAATCAGGTTCCCCCCACCCCCCAAAGAATTCACAGCCCCCTTTAAGACTCTTGGGAAAAGGAGCATCTGGTTTCCAGTTGAGTCCACATAATGAACTGGGCTTGTTAACAAAATATAATAAAATAAAAGTCTTAAAGGGTGAATACCACAGATTTGACCTAGAATCAAGTTTCCTCCCTGCTGTTCCAGGTATCCTCTTCTTTCCACACTTCTGCATTAGTGGACATGGATAAGCAACAATTGTTACCTCCCAGATCACCAAATTCCCCTTTCCAAAGGCATAAAATTATTTTCAGGTGTTTTAAACAAAAAAACAAAAAAACCCTGATAGTATAGCTCATTAGAGTACTGTTGTGCAGTTAAAGCATTAAAAGCATCAGGCTGTTTTATTTTGTGATAAGTTTATTGAACAGTATCCAAGACTTCATCTTTATAAACAAAACTTCTACTGAATGATGCCAAGGCAGTATTTGCTGGCACGTTTTGGCCATATTGGCAACAAGTCATTTTATTGTGTTTGGTTTCTAAAGTATGGAGCACTATAGAACTGTCAGTAAAATAATTTAAATGTGGTAATTTTGTAAGAGCGGTAAATAATTTTAAAAGTGATCACTGCCAGAAATTCTTTCCAGAAGATTTGACTAGCAGCAATTTTATATTTTCTTTACTTGTTTTTTAAGTGTTCTTGAAATTGATGTATAGATTTATTTTTAAATGCTTGACCTGCACCTGCACACAATGAAGAATCCAATAAAAGGGACTATGAGTTTCATTAAGAATTTTATGCATCCTTATTTTTATCCAAGGTATTTCCCACTCAAAACGTGTTTGCTTACTTCCATACACAGCCCTAGATTTTCATTCAGTGGCTTAAGACTGACACAATTGTGCTAAATATTACTCTCTGAAATTTTGAATAAAAAGTTTCCTAATGGAAATATAAAGCAATTTTACTGCCATTACTTTGACAACTTGGAGCATAAAGCCAGGAACTACATTTCACTTAACAGTGTTGCATTAAAAAAAAAAGCCGCTAGTAATTGTACATCCAAACTACAGTGTAAACACAAAACACTTCTCCAAATTTTGCTTAGGAATGATGTTTCACTATAGTTCAGAAAAAGTTCACAATTTTGTTTGCTTATGAAATATACATTTTGTGGATTTCTCTGATCTTTTAAACTAAAAAATAAAAATAAAAAGCAAAAAACAAAAACCCTCAGCCAGGGCCATGGGGGGAATGAGAATAGACCTAATGGAAAATATTCTCTTCCATTAATATTAATCACCAAAACAGACAATAAAATTTACACATTAAATTGTAAATACGATAGTGTTTACAAATGCACACAACTTTGAGCAAAGCTTTACAAATCCTTCATACCATACAAAGCAAATAAGTAAAGGTAAATTCATTATCACCCAAAACCTAGTCCGTATGAGAAAAAGTGCAAAAAATAGGTATGTATAGTTTCACAGAATATATTTTAAGAATTAAAAAAACCCCTCAAACTCAATGCCCAGCACAAGATAAACAGTATGCTTAGCAGTTAGCACTAGGTAATATGTAGTAAGTCTCACACAAAAATCAAGTTCCAAAGGGCAAAGCATTTAATTACATTTCACAACAAGAAAAGCACTGTTGTGAGTCAACCAAATATGAAACAGTTCTCTCCAATGTCTACACAACCACTATTTTCTTAATTTATTTAATTTGATAAACAAAATCAAGTTTTCCTTTTCAGCATTTATCTAAGATGTAGAAATAACAAAAGAGTTGCAATAAAGTATACGAAATATTTAATAAGAATGCACGAACATATAACCAAAATAAATTGTGAAAAAAGACAGAGGACTTTCATTTCCACACAACCCAGTTTTCTAAAATAAAAAGTCAACTTTCCACTGGGGAAAATAATCTGCATTTGAAATAAAACTTCTAAACAGTGCTGAAGTTTTTTGAACTCTGTCCTTGGAATAAGAAATGATTACTTAACAGAAAATTTAAATTGAACATCATATACAGACATCATATTACTTTTTTTTTAGTTGAAGAGGCAGTATCTAGTGATCTGTCAAAGCAAATTTGTATTCATGAATTTTCAAGACCCACAACACAGCCATGTTTTTTTGAAAGTCTAGCCAGTCCTTTCCCTAAACAAAACTCCTACACTGTCAATCCTCTAGGATTGTTGAAAAGGCTTTCCAAAACATATCGCACAAATGAAACTGTTGCCACTGTTAACTCTAAATTACACAATGCTGTACTTCAGTGTTCCACTGACTTGCAACACGAAAAAGGCACCCCCCCCCCAAAATACTTCTTTTAAAAGGCTGATCCCTTCATAAGTACATTGATTTGTAAGAAATGTTGGGGATGTTTTAAACCAAGAAAGACGCCCATGTAAAAGACAATTTGTTTTTCATGATATGTCACGAATCTCCTATTCCATGTTTATATGATATACCTCTTTAGAGCATTTTAACTAAGGAAAGTAACCGTAAGTAGAGCCTTTGTGGCAATGAGCAGGATGTTGTAAGGCCAATGTTCTCATGACACGGACATTTCCCAACCAGAACCCATATGGCCCTCCTGGCCTTAGTGCTCTGAATGCCAAAGACAAAAGTATGAAAAGGGCAGGAAGTCTCAATTCTTTCCTCTCTGGCAGCTGCACTTATACTCTGAAGATTTTTTGTAAACAGGCTCCTGATCAAACAACTAGACCAAAAGCCTCCAAGTAACAGGATTCAGTGCATACCAATCTACAAACCAGCTTATAGATTTTTTATTCTGTAACACAGCTGACAATTTCAACTTCAGTTTTAAAAATCTAGTTATAACAATGTTCTTTCTTATAAATGGACTCTGGTTATAGGCCAAAATTTCACATAAACTTGGGATAGAAAGAAATTGCCAGAACATTAGTCCATCAGACAGGACTTTAAATCAGGAATTTTAAACAATGATTATTAAAAGTAGTTTCTACTTTTTGATGTCATCCAAACAACATGAACTTTTTAAAAACTGACTGAACTACAAGTTGATGGTCAAACCAAAAAGGCTCTGGTAGATAGAGAACTCCATTAATTTTATTTTGTGGCAAAGTCTTATTCCACACAGTTTTAAGTGTGACATTAGAAATCAAAGTTCAAGGTTATAGCATAAACCAAATGTGGAGCTTTATATTAAAAAAAAAAAAACAACAAAACAGTTCTACTCATTTACAAATGAGTCAATTAGGCAAACAAGGCAGCAACTTCAGAAGCAGGACTGTCTATACAGCAAGAACCCTCAAAAAGCAATAAAGGTACATACAGTGAATCTGTATACAGAGATTTTATTTAAAGAAAATTAGGACTTTAGACAAAGCTTTGACCCTATAACAAAGCAAATCTGTCCAGCTTTAAACCAAATTCCAAGAGCAGCCAACTTCTATTTTTTATCAGCTGGCAAGAACACCCTTCATGAGCTCTATTAACAATTCTATTTTCTTCATCCCATATATAATACAAAACAAAACCAATCTAGACTCCTTGATAAACTTTATGCTATCATTTGAATTTTACAAATTGTTTCTCTAATGGTACGCCAAAATCATTTTTTTGTTCTCTCCAGACAGTTTTACTTTAACATACAGCAATGTTTATCCGGGTAGTGAGTCTTCTGTAAACAGTCAACCAATGCTCTATGTTATGGAAACCGATCTATATGCAATGGAAACAATCCACAGGCTCTATCCTGGAAATACTAGGAAAACAATCTGGATGCATTAATCACAGCACTATGAATATCTACCCTACAAAGAATTGATGTGAACAGCTATCCTAAGACAAGTTTTACTTTCCGTGAACCTATAGGTCTGTCATTTAAGTCAATGACAGCAGCTGTGGCTTCATCCCGAGATTCAAAGGCCACCATGGCTTCACCTGTGGGCATACCTTTCTCATTGTATTTTAAGCAAACTGAGCCTGGGATCACTTGATAACCATAAAAGAAATCTAAAATCTCATCAATAGACACAGTGAAGGGCATGTTCTGCACTTTAATTACTGTTGGTCCTGGTTTTCCAGAACTAGATCCAAAGCCAGGGGGACCACCAATGTGGATTGGGCCAGGTCCCGGCCCCGGCCCTGGCCCAAAGGCTGGTGGCCCAGCCAAATGGCCAGGAGCATTCCCAAGACCAGGAGGGCCACTTCCAAAGCCAGGGGGGCCACCCAAGCTACCAGGGCCATTTCCAAAATTCTGAGGGCCCCCTCCAAATCCTGGCCCACTTAAATTATTTGGTCCACCTCCAAAACCTGGAACATCCAGTCCTAGACCAGGCAAACCACTATTTGCAACTGAAGGCATACCAGGCCTAACATCACCAAAGGCCCCTCCTAATCCTGGAGGCGGCAGTGGTGGCCCAAAGGCATTTGGCCCACCAAAATTACCAGGAAAATTAAATGGAGGCCCATTATTGGCCTCCTTAGATCCTACAGTCAGAAAGGCATGCTCTTCACCTCCTGCACTAGGCATTCCTGCACTGGGCATTCCAACGTTGGGCATTCCCGCATTGGGCATTCCGGCACTAGGCATTCCGGCACTGGGCATTCCGGCATTGGGCATTCCGGCATTGGGCATTCCGGCATTAGGCATTCCAGCACTGGGCATTCCAGCACTGGGCATTCCAGCATTGGGCATTCCTGGAACTGCAGGATTACCTGGTACAGGTATCTTTAACCCCTTTTTTCCTTGAGCAGGGGGATTTTTCTCAATCTCTCTCATATCTTCTAGAGTAACTATATGAACAAAAGCTTCTCGCCCATTAAGTTTTTTACGATGTAAGCGTTCAGACTTACGTGCATCATCTTCATTTTTAAACTGAACCAATGCCTGTCCTAGACCTTGCCCATTGTTGTCAACAAGAACATGGACAGCATTTTCATCCACTGGGATTCCTTCTAGGAACTGAAGAACATCCATCTTGGTAATGCTGAATGGAATATTTGTTATGTGAGCACAGACTTTGGTAGAGCTGACATCCCCCTCCGGATTTAACATCATTTCTCTCTGGTCATAGTTGAAGTTCTGTAGCCTTTTCCTAATCATATCTATCTTTTCTAGCATACCTTTCTTAGTAATTGGATGAACTTGAATAAAGCGATTGCCCATGTATTGTTTATGACGACACAGAGCAGCCTTATAGTCAGCCTCATTCCTGAACTCCACAAAGCCTTCACCAGTTGCTTTCCCATTGGGTCCATAAGCGATATAAATACTATCTTCCACAATATCCAACTTTTTAAAAAAATCAATGACATGTTTGTTTTCAGCTTCAAATGGTAGACCTTTCAAGTAAACACAAAAACCGGCCTCATGTGGTGATCTTGACCTTGACCTTTTCTGCCCACTGGGTGATTTTGACCTGGGTAGTGTCTGTGGAGGGGGATGGGTTTGTCCAGAGGGCCCTATACTTTGCTTAAAAGTGATATGGCCTCCTGCAGCCACCCACTGTCTCTCTGTCGCAGGACTAACTTCCACGTAGCGTTGTATCATCAGCATCCTGTTTCGCTTCAAGGCTTCAAATGTATCTTGAGGGGAGAGAAACTTAACCAATCCATTCCCATTATTCCGACCTACATGATCTTTCAACAAATGCACTGCATCAACACGGAGCCCATGGAAAAAATCTCTGACATCATTTTCCATCGCAGAAAAGGGCATTCCATGCACACTGACATACAGATCATCAGGGTTGATGGGAAGTGGTTTCACACTGCTTTGAGAATTCACCTGGATAGGGTTAACAGGATTCAGTGGACCCAGAAACACAGGGTTCAAGTTATTGTTCAGATTCATAGGTGCTCCAGAACCATTCATTCCAGCAGGTAGAGGTGCCACAGGTGGTGGGTTCAAGGGTGGCATTCCCGACATGGGTGGCAGTGGGGTCATGGGCGGCACTGAAGGGACTGGGGGAATTGGGGGCACAGGAGGCACGGGAGGCAATGTAGGTACTGGAGGAGGAACTGGTATCGGGGGAATAGACGGCATTGGTGGCAAAGATGGCATCGCTGGGATTGGAGGAATTGGTGGTGGTGGGACCGTGTTCATTGGAGAGGCTGTGCTTGAAATGGTTGAGCTAAACGTTGGGCTCCCAAACGAAGTTCCCATATTTGGAGGAGCCGTTCCTATACTGGCTGTGGAAAATGTCTGTATGTTTTTGTTGCTTTCATGAACAGAAGTGGTAGCAGTAACTACACTGGGTGAAGGGTTATTAAAGTTGGGTACTGTTGTAGGCAAGTTAACCCTGCCACTCATTCCTGAGCTAGGCGGTGGTCCTGATCTACTAGCATTTGCTGGTGGTATATCTAAGTTGGCAGTTTCAAAACGTCTACGACTCAGTTCAATCATATTCTGCATTTCTGTTTTACTACTCAACAATAGTGTTACTTTTGACCCTTTAATTGTACCACCTGTGCGCATCATACCAAGCCTTGCATCTTCATCAGTGGCAAAAACGATGAAAGCCTCACCCAGTTCACCCCCTACAATATGCACGCCCCCATCAGGAATGGTCAATCCAGAGAAGAAGTGGCGAATGTCCATGGTCCCCGCCACAATTGGGAGACCTTGCAAACGGATGACCACAGCCATGCTGCGCTGAAACCACACACACCTGCAGATGAGAAAAGGCAACGGCCAGGTCAGACTCCTGTTTATCACACCAAGTTTTTAGCTACAAGAATGACCAGCTACCACATTAGGCCCTCGAATGGTCCCTCAAACTATCACAAGCAATGTCGGTTTTTAAATTTGGATATTCTAAAAACTGAGTATCACGTGCCATTTACAATGGAAAACCTCGACAATTTCAACTTCAAAAAGGAATTGATTTTGGAAACAATTAGAAGTTCAGTCCCAAGACTCAAAAGTTTCAGGGAAAAAACCACCACAGGTCAGTAAATCACCAATTACATCATTCAGACCACAATTCAGTAAGATTTAAGATTTAAAAGAAAAGTATAGGTCAAATCAGGGAACAAAGTTTAACAATCTATAGGGGAAAAACATGCAAAGTATGCATTAAAGTTAGTATTTAAAACTGGCTTAGTATCTCCTGATAAACCTGACAAGTTCACAGAATTATCGGTGTCATTTTATACGGCTCAATCTAAAATCCAACAGAACAGAAAACTAGTTAATTACAAATAACATAAAAGTAGATTCACATCTCAAATGAAAACTCCGTATTTCACCCTAAAATTCTTAAATCTGCCTTACCACTTCATTTATTAAAGAAAACAACACAAAATTATTTATTACAGCCCTGGCAGAGTAGCTCAGTTGGTTAGAGCACTGTCCTGATACACCAAGGTTGCGGGTTTGATCCTCAGTCAGGGCACATACAATAATTAACCAATGAATGCATAAATAGGTGGGGCAACAAATCAGTGTTTTTTCCTCTATCAATTTAAAAAAATTTTAAACTATTTTACAGCCCTGGCTGGTATGGCTCAGTGGACTGAGTGCCAGCCTGCGAACCAAAAGGTTGCCAGTTCAATTCCCAGTCAGGGAACATGTTTGGGTTGTAGGCCAGGTCCCCAGTTGGGGGCGTGGGAGAGGCAACCAATCAATGTATCTCTCACACATGGATGTTTCTCTCCCTCTCTTTCTCCCTCCATTCCCCTCTCTCTAAAACTAAATTAATTTAAAAAATTACTTTACAAACAAGGCTAATACCTGCTAAGAATCCAAAAGAAATACTAAATAAAATAGCCAAAATCTTAGCTACCTATTTTCATCACTTCAAAAAGTAGAATTTGGTTATAGTGCCATTCACCATGGCTGTTTTAATTAAAATTCATGTCCAAAGACTCATTCCCAAACCCTCCATTAAAAAAAAGTCTTGTTTTTCCCATAGGGAAGGGCCAATAATAAAAAAGAGGTATTTTTTGGTTTTGCTTTTTGTTTTAGAGCTCGGGTATGAACTTTATTCAGTGATTGCTATAGTTTCTGGCCCAACATAACTCCTGTGGAATTTCTGGGTGCACATTGATCTCCTTAGTGTCCATTCTGATCTAATAAAAAGAAAAGTTTCTCCTAAGATTTAAGTAAAATTTTAGTATTTCAGTTCTTACAGCAGCTGAAAGTAAATGCCAATGACAGGCCTTTGTAAAGTGATACGAAACAAATTCTTGGCACTAGAAAAAATATTAATTTGAACTTTATGTGGCCAGCAACATAAGGTGTTGCCCAAGCCATCTTAAAAATCAACTTTTAAATAAAAACCTGTTAAACTGGCTCTGTGACCTCAGGGGAATTATAAAGTATTTAAACTTTGGTTTTATCTTCTCAAATGAGAACACTAGAAGAGCAAAGTTTCCTGTTGCAAGCTCCAACTCTACAAACCTATGAAAGCAGTCTTTCAAAGTTAAATATTATACAAATACCAATTCAATGCAAAAAACCTGTAATTATAGCTCAATGTTATGATTGCTATACAGAAAAGATATATTGTTTGGCTCTGACAGTTTTCTCACACACACTCACACACGCCACCTTCAAATTTAATCCTGAAAAATGGAGACTGGCAAACAGAAAATGCTCTTTATGAGACCATTATAAAACACCAGAAACTGGGCAGAGGGAGGAAGTTTTTATAACTGATCTGGCAAGAGTCAACAAGAAATATACTAAAAAATGATTACACCAACAGACTTTTTCTCCTTATTTTACTATTTAGCAGTCTATCAGGAAGTTCATTAAGAAGCTCCCAAATCATTAAATCAAATTCTCATTCCTTACTGACTCTAGAATATTGGCTATATGTGAGCAAAACTGAGACAGCATTCCTGTTCAATTAAAAAAAATGCTTAATCATTTCATCACTATATACAGGGGGAAACATCACGGGTACTCTAGGTACCCACAACAACTTGAGAGAAAGACTAATCTAATCTACATCAAGACAATAAAAATAGGGATTTGATATGGTCCCAAGAACACAAAAATTGAACATAGATCTAAAGTGACATACACAGTAAGTCTTCAAACCATTTGCAGCTAAGAAAAGGGATTTAGTGAAAGTCTGTAGAAGGCACACATGAAAATATGATATTCAAAATCTGCCCAGATTACCAGTTAGAAAAGAGCTGAGGATTACACCAGAACAGCACAAGATTTATTCATAAAGCCATCTGAAAATGAAAAGTTTCTAGGTTCTGAAAAATATGAAGGTCTGCTATTCTGCTACTAAGTACCTGTTTGAATCATTTCAACCTGTTTGGAACATACCTTAATTATTTAATGAGAGGGTTAGATTCCAATCACTGAGGTTCCATTAAAGCCAAAATTTGTATTCTAAAACATATCACTCATTATCTATACCTATACCCCTAAGGAATATTAAAAACCACACCAATAACAAGCACCTGTATTTGTAACTAGTCTAAAGGCTACTGAGGTAAGAAACAGCTACTTATTGCCTAGTAATCAGGAATTCAGGAGAAATGCATCCATATAAAACTGACCCCCAAAGGAAGCAACAACTGTTCCTCCACCATGGTACCCAATCTATCCCACCCCCATCCCTCAGATGAGCTTGTTTAAAAAAAAAAAAAGAAAAGAAAAGAAAAGAAAGAAACACAACAAAACACCCACAATTTAGTTACTACACATACTTTCATGTTACTTAATAAACTAGCTATCTCATTTTATTCAGTATAAAAACATACCCTCTATTCAAAATCTCTTACCTGATAAAACAAGAGATGTATTTTCTTAACAAGAAGTAGAGGCCAAGTCAATCCTGTGGGCAACCAATTAAAACCAACTTTTAGACTGCAATAGAGAATAAACGGAGGCAAAAATCAATGCAGGAAACACAAAACACGCACAGGCCACACTGAACTGTACATTACCAAGGCGAGTCTGAAACCAGAGTACTTCATTAGAATGTATAAAAAAAAATAAATTGAAGAAGAAAAAGACATGTACCAAAATCCTACACATGCTTATTATTTGGTATTGTTTCAGATTTGAGTATCTCTCAAAACATTACATATTTACATACATCAAGAATGTGTCACAAATTAGTCCAAGAATGAATAGATAAAAACTAACACAGTCATAAAACTCTTAACTTCTCAGCTGGTAATTGCTTTTATCACTTGATTAAACCAGTACTGAAAATTCTGTATCACAAGTCCAACTATGACCTATTTTCTCAGGTCATAGTTCCCAAAAATTCCCAACAATTTTTGATGAAAAAGCACAATAACAAGTTTGTACAATACCAGTTCCTGGATAAATTAATCAATCAATTCAAGGTACTCATGGAAATTACTGCAATTAATCTTTCAATATATTTTTCCTTTGCACCAAAATAGCATCAAACACCAAAAAACAAACAAAGAGACAGATCTGGCAAAAAGGACTAATTCCTAGTTAAAACCACTTAAGTTGAAAACATTATGGAAAAGTGCTTCTTCTTCAAACACCATAACAGTCCCAAGAAACTTATTTTTTTAAACTCCCTAAAAACAGCTGCCATATTAACAGTACTTCCCAAAGTAAAAACAGATCATCTTTCACTGGAATTTTTCCCAAACTGGCGAAGTTAAGCAATTCACAAGCAATATAAATGACCAAGTGATTAGACAACTATACTGAAAAGATCATTATTTTAATTCAGAGAAACAAAGTAGAAGAAAATTGTTACTTTTAGGCATGAAAATTATCAACAGAATACTATTAGAATGAGGCTCATTTTTAACTACTACCTTTCAAGATCAAGAACCAGCAGTGAGCTTAATATCATCACAAAAAATAAAACGTTAAAACAAATTTCAGTGTTACTCTAAAGTTATCTAAAGGACAAGCTAAACATCTTCTAAATAACTACTCAAATTATACAACAGTGAGATTGTTTTGCCACAAAAAAGCTATGCAAATATCTCATAACGATGCTTTCAAAAACCCACAGCATTGTATTAATCTTTTTATGTTGTACAAACCAATCCTGATGAAGTCTAAAGAGTTTTCAAATTCATCATTTAAATGGACCACAAAGGGAAATGTGAAACAGAAAAAAAACTTGCTTTAAGGAAAGGCTATGAGCCAATAAAGAACCAGCTAGATAAACACTCTTGATAAACAGATGATCCCCTACATGAGATTCCAATTCAAAAGCTCTGGTGTGGGGCCAGGACGAGTGTCCTACAGGTAAGAGAAACAAGTTCCTTAACCTCTTCCCTTCCAGACCCAAGAAAGCACCTTATGTCCATCTGGAAAGAAACTGTCTATTCCCATAAGTTCCTACAGTATTGCCGGAAATGACTGTAACAAGGAGGAAACATCTCATTCCACAAGGAAAAGTTGAGAGGCTCAGCCGAACTTATCAGATGCCTAGTTCAAAGTTTATTTATAAAATTTACAGTACAAAATCAATCTAAAAGATAAAATGAAAATAATAAAAGTCAATCTAGATATAAATTAGTGAACTTCTATTTAGCACAGGGGAAAGTTCATCTCACCCCATACCAAAGAAAAGTACACAGGAAGTTCAAGGTAGAAACCAGAACTTCACTACTCATGCTGCCACACCTCCACTTTCACATAGGCAACGTATATAAACTGAGAACTTAACTACTTTT